CCTGTGAAAACCTTTCACTCCCATGGGATCCATCCTCCCTCGCCCCAGGGTGCTGCTCTGGGGGGCAAGTGGTTGATGGAGACCATGGTGTGACCCCGGAGCTGTGAGGGTCCAGCAGAGAGGGGCTTTGCCAGGCTCTGCTCCTCCCTGCAGGGCAACTTGGCTGCCTCAGTGCTTTCCTCCTTTTTAAAAACTGACCTGATCTGGATGGTGTTTCCAGGAAATGTGCTGTCTGAGGAAGCAATCGACTGGAGATGTGAGCGTGGAGGTCAATGCCTGCCCTGGACCAGATCTCAGGCAAATCTTAGAGGATTTGAGATGCCAGTATGAAACACTGATAGCGCGGAACCGCAAGGAAGTCGAGGATTGGTACGAGTGCAAGGTGAGCGACACACACCTGAACCAGACTGACACTCACCCCCCAGGGCTCAGGAGCCTCTCAGGGACCAGACATGGAGACAATAAGCAGTTCTTGGTTCTCAGTGAAGCCCAAGAGCAGCACTCATTATACCCTGTGTTCCACAGGAGCCACAGGCCTGTCTGACCAGTTTGTTATGTCCCATCTGGAACAGCAGCATTTGCCACAAGGCCTTGTGGTGTGTTGCTGGAACACAGATATTCCACATTTGGATTAAAGAGACTTACTAGCCACGGGGCTAATGGGATTTGTAAAATGAACAAGCACAGGAGCCAGCAGGGAACGCCCTGTGCACAGAGAACCTGCCCTGCTCCCTTTCACTTCTGCTGAACACTCCCTGTGTTCTGCTCCTGTAAAACCAAGTCCGATGTACCCAGACATCTCCTGAAGCTCTTTACCCTGGATTGGTGATTTCAGATTGAGGAGGTGAATCGGGAGGTTATTACGAGCGGTCAGGAGGTGGAGACGTGCAACAACCAGGTGACCGAACTGAGACGCCAATTGCAAGCCCTGGAAATCGATCTCCAAGCTCAGCTCAGCCAGGTGGGTGACGAGCTGGCTCAGCTCGGACGTGGTCACTGCTGGGTTTCTTGGTGTGAACAGCCAGACCCACCAACCAGCACAATGGTGCTGAATGGCTCCTTCATTTCTAGACTGGAAATCATAAACTCCAGGGTGATGCTTAAAATGAATGTTGTTTCTTTGCTTGTCCTGTTTATCAGAGAAATAATCTGGAATCCTCTCTGGCTGAGACTGAGTGCCAGTACAACACCCTCCTCGGCGAGCTACAGAACCAGATCACGTGCGTGGAGCAGCAGTTGGCTGAAATAAGGGCGGAAATAGAGTGTCAGAACCAAGAGTACAAGACCTTACTGGACGTCAAGTGCCGCCTGGAGCAGGAGATCCAGACCTACCGGTGCTTGTTGGAAGGAGGACAGCAGGACCTCATGTATGTACATCTCTAAATCCACTAGAGAATACATGAAAATATCACAGATCTGTATTACAGAGTGGGAATCCAGCCTGATCTTTAGTCCTTCTTAATGCTTTCTTTGACATGAAGAAGTTGTCTTATGAGCAACTTCACTGTGATGAACATTCAAATCAGAACTAAATGTCACTCCCTGGGATCTGCAAAGCAGAGATACCAAATCTGATAATTCCTGGTGACAACACTGTCATTTCTGGCATTAGGACAGTCTCTTCTCTGTGGTGATATATGTGAGAACTGTCAAAATGGGAATTAATGGCAATTAATTGGCAACTGCATTGCAGTTCCATGCCAGGGGGGAGCACAAATGCAAAGCAACTCTGAAAGTGATAGAAAATGTGATGTAAAATACTCTGTATGTAAAAACCCTTATAAAGGACATAGTTTGATGCTTTGTGCCATGTAGCCAGTCAGCAGTGACACAAGAAGTTCTAAAATTCCCTGTCTGTCTCACCAGTCACGGAGGAGGAATCGGAACTGGCGGAGGGGTCATTAGGACGAGCCACACCTACACAACAACTACAGCTGCCCACTGCCAGCCCCAGGTCCCGCCCTGCAAGACCGGAGACATACAAGGTAAGGGCCGTGTGCTCACAACGGGAAAACCAGCTTTGTTTGGTTTGCTCCTGAGCTCTGAGGGCCAGAGACAGCACAGTCCTAGGATGTGTCACTGGCATCCTCTCAGAGTCACTGTGCTGCAGGAGTGATCTGTCACAGTGGTGGTGCCACCGAGAAACAGGGTTAAAGAGAGCCCGGGCTGAACACAGGGCTGCAGGAAGCAAATGGGAGATGAGAGGAGGCAGTACCATGGAGAGAAGGCATAAATGAGGCACCAAGGGAAGACCCGGAGGTAGAAGTAAAGAAGTCTAAGTCTAAGCTTACCATAAGAGTCTGGAAGGAGTGAAAAGAAGAGTAAATCTATAACTTTACAGTGAAAATTCCCATTAAAGCAAATTATTTGGGGAATATCTGGGGTTTCCCGGGTTGCTGCCAACTGCTCCAGCTTAGCAGTGCATTCTAGAAACAAGGGCACCACACAGACCCAATTTCTGTTATTTGAAGGATTTTAACTCTGTTTCAGTCAAATAATGCTGCTGTGTTTTCTCTCCAGTGACCTGCAGGAGAATTTGTGATTAAGGAGGAACGGACTGGAAGGTGACAGGGAAACCCAGAGACAAACCCAGAACGCTCCGTGTTCGCTGCACCCTCTGTGCAGAGAAAGTAGAAGTAACTCAGCGACGCTTGGCCACGTAGCTAAAGGGGGTGTCAGGAGCCCCCTCCTCTGTTCTGCTCTTCTGTTCTGCAATGCTGTAACCTCTAGAAATTACCTGAGTTAGTCAGGGTCACTAACGTACCTGCTGCTGAAAAACGTCTCTAATAAAACTTTGCTTGTGCCTGATGCAATCAAGAACCTGGGTCTGAAACTGAGTTCCTTTAGAACACCAGGGGCTGAGCCATGGGCACAGGGGGCACTTAAACTGGTCAGGATCATCCTGCACAGAGAACGGCCTCGCTGACCTGGCAGGTCTTGTCCAGCTCCTCCCTGTTGCCACAGCCTGAGGCAGATGTTGCCTGTTCCTGTATGACATGGGAGGAGGCAGCCAAGCCAGAGGAGCTGGAGTTCAGTGAAAGGAGAACAGGGATGAGTGACAGAAGCTCCCATGCCAAAGCTCAGGGTGGTGTGTGTCCATACACAGGTATTGGCTCAGCAGCCATCCCTGGTGCACATCTCCAGCTGCTCTCCAGATGTGTCAGGTGTTAAACTGTAAGATGAGCTGGTGCTGGGGAGTTCAGTGGTGGCTGCAGCCACCTGGGGGGG